AGTAAGATTGGCAGCCATTATGAAGTCAAACAACAACAAGTGCTGGCGAGGATGTGGGGAAAAGGGTACACTTGTTCATTGTTGGTAGGACTGCAAATTATAATTTTACTTATAATTTTGTTTGTTTGGTAGTGCTGGGGTTTGACCATGGGCCTCATGTGTGCTAGGCAAGCACTCTACCACAGAACTATCCCCCACTCAGTGACAGTATTTAAAGAGTTGAAATGTTGCAGTCTCTTGCCTGGCAGCATGCACTTGGCCACATCTCTAGGAGTCAAGTGGAGAAGGAGACTGCAATGTCACCATTGAGTTTTATTACCTGTATTTTTAGCATGATACCTTAATCTAGGCTGCTGCTTAAGTCCAGATCCCTGGATTAGACTTTTGAGTCTTTGCAGGGGTGAGGAGATGAGCTGGGGGTATGACTCCTTTTACTGACTTATGAAATAAACCCCACTGCTTCCCTGCCTTCTGTGGTGTCTGGGCCACTGATGAAGCCTTTGGGGGGACCTGTGGTGTTAGTGGATGTACTTCTGCCCCACCCTGCCTGGCCTACCAATGCTTGGTTCTCCACTCTGCTCTCAATGATGTTTCCACCAGTTCTCCAGCTTCCAGAATCTTGCTGACATCTTGCTGACTGCATTCACACCTCCTATTTTGATCATCCATTGATTTTGTGCCTTTTAATTCTTTCCCCATAATTTGTCGTGACTTCCATAGGAAGTGGAGGTGGCAGTGTGTGTCCTTGCCCACATTGGCTGGGGGCTGGAGGGCCTGCCTTCTGCTGCACCAGCATTGCCCCTGGTGCCGGGCTGTGCTCAGTGTGGGGGGGTTTCACTAAATGGATACAACTGACTTTATTTATTTTTTGGTTTTTTTAGGTGGACACAATATTTTATTTTTTTATGTGGTGCTGAGAATGGAACCCAGTGCCTCATGCAGGCTAGGTGAGCTCGTTACCACTTGAGCCACATCTCCAGCCCCCACAACTGACTTTAAAAGAAGGAGTGACCATCTATGTCTTCTTACTTTTTTCTTCTTCAGAGGGATTTAAAAAAAAAAAATCAAATGCTGGATAGAAGCAGGTTGTCAGTAACCCTGAGGAAATAAAGACCACAGCCCTGGAAACCATCAGGTTTCAGCTCATGAGAAACTGATGGCAAGGGGCACTTCAAAGCTAAGGATAGAGATTTTTGTCCTGAGTTCCCACAAGGGTGGACGTTCTCCCAGTATCCCTTAGTAGGATGTGGGGCTTGAGATAGACTCCCTAGGGACCTGAGGCCAGGCCCTGTGTACCCCTACTCAGGGACAGCAGTTCTCAGTACCGCCTGACCAGTAGAAAACAGACACGCTCAAGTTCACATGCCTGGGTTCTGCTCTGACATTCTGACTGGGGGCGGGCGTGGGGGGTGGGGAAGCAACATCAGAATTCCAAGCCAGCATCTAGAGTGTTGTGATTCCCACCCTGATGGTTGAGTTCCAAGCATTAGTTCATTTAGTTCCTATTTGCTAAGTTCCTACTATGTGCCAGGCACCATTTTCTGGGACTGCAGGACCCTGTGGGGAACAGGACAGAGGAGGACCTCTGTCAAGGAGCTCAGTCTAAAGGAGAGAAAAGGAATGGATGGACATTTTAGATTCAGATACCAATGAATGCTTGATGAAGATGGAGAGAATTTGAGGTGTGGACAGGCTGGAGGCAGGGGAGGTGGGTGCAGAGCGCTGGGCAGGGGCAGGTTTGGCTACAGAATAGCAAGCAGGCGAGGAAGGAGGAGGGGTTGCTGGAAGCCCGGAACATTAGCTCTCAGGAATGCCGACAGGTAATTTACTCATCTTCACAATCCATTTAGTGGGGGGTGGGTTTCATGTATGCAGAGGAACTGGCCTCCTGTCACTTAAGGGACATCCAGAGCACACTGGAGCTCCCAGCCTGCTGCCCAAGCTCACCCCCTGTAGGAGGGAACAGCCCCTCCCTCCCGGCCCCCGTCTGTGACACTAATGGCTGTGAAGCGGCCCCTGCCATGGCCTTAATGCAATTCCACATTCTGCGTCAGAAGGCTCCAGCCTGCCTGAGTCACCAGGCTCCCAGGAGAGGACGCACAGAGCAGGGCCCACGCGGGGGCTGCAGTCCCCAGCCACACTCGGCTTCTCACCCAGTAGCACCGCTGGGAGATTAAACACATTCGCTTAGAGAAAGGCAGGGAAATAACTTCTTCTGATAACCAGCATCTGTTAGTTAATGGGCCTCTGAGAGCTGTATGCAATTTAAACTTTTTATTAAAAAAAAAAAAAGCTCATTTACTCTCCTGGGAGTTGGGCTATGAAATTATCAACTGCATGGGCTCCCCCCACCCCAAACGTGACTGCACATACAATGGAGAACATTAATTTTGTTTTGAATTAGGACTCTGGGCCTTCTTCCTTTCTGTGGATGCAAAGCTCCCTCCAGGTTTACATGGAGGCTGAGACTCAGGGATGGGGGCAAAGGGTCTGGAGGCTGAGTGTCCACCCCTTGCCTCTGAGATGAGCCCTCATCCCTCGGCCCTGTCTGGGAGAATAGGGAGCCCTTTTTCCATCTCTGCACTTCCCAGGAGCCAACGGGGGCCAGAGAGTGTGGTCCAGTTGAGGATAGCCAGGAAGCGTGTCTCGCTTAGCCCACCTCTTGGGGCTATGGCTCCTGCCAGATTCCATGAAATACCACCCAATTGCTTTCCCCAAATACAGCAGGAAATCCCACTCCCTCTGCTGAACCTGGAAACCGAGAAATGGAGGCCCAGATCTCTGGCTCTGGGGTCTAGCTGCTCAGGTTTAGATCCCTGTCTTTCTTTACAGTGTGATCTTAGGCCAATGCCTTTCCTCTTCGTGTCCTGTTCAAGATGCTGAGGATCGATCCCTTTGCCTGACTCAGGTGGGCCTCCTGAGTGATGTAGCACCTGCCCTGTGGTGGTGGCCTGTTCACAGGTCTCAGTGTGAGGCTGAGCCAGGATCACCAACCTTTTTTTTAAATATTATTTTTGTTTCTTTATTTTTATGTGGTGCTGAGGATCGAACCCAGGGCCTCCCGTGTGCAAGGCAAGCGCTCTACCACTGAGCTACCATCCCAGCCCCTAGATCACCAACCTTGTTAGCTATGTTTACTGAGGCTCCTTCCAGCAGGCTCCTGACCCACTGGAAAGATGGCCATACGTGGACTCTGCCTTCCCCTGTGAGCTCACATTCTAGGCGGAGGAGGCAGAGAATAAGCATGAATAAATAAGACATTTCAGACAGTGGTCAGAGTGCATTATAGAGAACATAAAACAGAATGGTGGGACAATAGGTAGAAGGACAAGGGACAAGGGGGCTACTCTTTTGGGATGCCAGTGGTGGGTGGGGGAGTGACATTTCATCCAAGAGACTTGAATGAAAGGAAAGAGCCAAGCACCTTGGGAGAAGTGTTGGCGGTGCACATGGATAAGGAAGCGGGCCAGCATGGCCGGGGTGTGGGAGCGTCCCCTGAGTTGGAGCTGGAGCTTCCTTCCCTTCCCAGGGAGCTCCAGGCAGGGCAGGGATAGCAGGAGGGCACAGCTGGCCAAGCAGGAGTTCACCTCCACTGGCTGCTTCTTCACATGTTTTCTGGAAGGCACTCCACTTCCTTTCTTTAGAACCATAATCCCCTTGGTTGACTTTAATAACCAGCAAGAACATTTTTCAGGCTGTTTAATTTTATTAAAAGATTCAAATTTGATGATAAATAGTGGCATGGTTGCTTCAAGCCTCAGATACAAGACTTGCTCAGCCATGGACATATTATCGACACCCACTGTCATCCCCACCGGGAACTCCCCCCACCAAGATGTAGTCGAAGACTGTAAATAATCTAATTATTTCTTGTACTTTGGTAAATATGCCAAGAACACCGTAGCTCTCTGAGACCCACACAGAATATTAACTTGGTGGTTTTTCTTTTTTCTTTTCTCTCTCTTTTTTTTTTTTTGAAAAGAAGAATGGATAATAAGTTAGAGCAATTTGAGCAGGCTGATTGAGACCCACACAATCTCAGGGAGGACAAGGGCTTCCCTCTAAAAGCATCGTTAGCCTCAGAGTGACTGTTGTTCAAAATCTGCAATAAGAGCCAGAGACAGGAACAGGGAAGAGGAAGGAGAGGGTGAATCAACCGCACACAGTCCCCCAAACCCTTGAGCCCATCAGGATACCAGTTAATTTCACAGTGTACAGATGAGGCCCTGGGAACATAGGCAGGGTTCCTGAAGAGGCACAGCCTGTCCCCACCGTGATGATAGCCCTCTCTGAGCTGAGAAGGACACCAGTATATTAGCACCACAGCGAGGGGGCTGGGAGGGGCCGACTTTCCTGGGTCCTGGCCTCCATGTGTTGCCATGTAGCCTGGTGATGCTGAGCTCCCCCTGGGGTGGTCCCAGAGCTGTGTACTCGGGAGGTTCCCCCCGTCAGACTGGCACAGGGAATCTGGAAGGCCAAGGACAGCGGTGCAGGGCTAATTACAGAGCATGTTAGCGCTGCTGCTAGCATTAGTATTAATTACTCTCCAAAGACTGGAACACTGCTCTCCTCCACAGACGTGCCCCCGGCATCCAGCCCAGTGTTCACTGGTGTTCTGCATGGGCGAGGGAGGCTCAGAGGCTAAAGCATACCAGGGGAGGCCACATTTCTCAGCTCAAATGGTGCCCTCTTTGCTTGCACATGGCTCTGGAGAACTGGATTTATCCACACGAAGTGTTGACAGCTTGAGGTCTGACTCGAAGAAGCACAGGCAGATGCAGACAAATGCCAGCAGTCAGAACTCAAGAAAGACAAGTGGCCCCCTAAGAGACAGGCCCTTTGCCAGGAAGCTGAGAAGCTCTGGAAGCCCGAAGTGGCATCTTTAATTCATGGCCCCGCTTTGAGTTTGTATTGCTAAATTTGAATTAATAAACTTTCAACAACAGCCTGAAGGCTTAGCAAAGCAGTGAGCGGCACTGTCCCTAGGCACCATCTCAGGCTCTCGCTCCCATCTCAAAATCTCAAGGGCCAGGAAGGGAGGGGCAGGGAGCTCTTGGACAGTGAGCCTTAGGGTGGTCCTCTGGCTCCAGCCTGCTGGGAGACCATCCAAACAGGAGCATGGGTTTGTTTGAAAAGTCGTGTAGCCACGAACTTGACCACCATATCCCAGAGTGTGGTCATTGGCCCCAACTTTGCAGGTGCGGCTTGAGCTCATGTTTTGGGCCTCTGGGACACAGGCTGTCTGCTGAAGCCCTGGGGCCACGTGGCCACCACAACAGAGAAGTACTGGTCCTTCCGGAGGTGGCCCAGTCCAGAGAAGGTCTGGAAGTTAAAGAGGATGTCATGGCCACTGGAGGAAGGCCAGCTCTGGGAGTAGGAGCAGCAGGGCGAGAGGGGTGTCAGGAGGACACGGCCCCCCTCCACGGGGCTGCAGGGACCTGGGGGCGGCTCCAGCCTGCCCCCTGCAGAGCACCAGGGGTGCCTGGTAGGAAGTGGGGCGCTTCTCTGGGGTGTCTGGACTTGACCCGTCGGTGGGCCTCTGTCCGATGAAGAGCAGGCTCTGCCCGCGGGGGTCTTGCTCCATCTTGAAAAGCTCGTACTCCACGTGGGGGAGCCTGATGCCCAGCGGCAGGCAGCCGTTGGTGACCGTGACGTCCCGCTCGGCGCCCACAGACCAGGCCCCGGGGCCCCCGCAGCTGCTCGGCTCCGAGAGGTTGAGCATGGCCGCGGTGACCTGGTCCATCGGAGTCACATGGGCTCGCGTGACCTCGAACACCAGCTCGGTGGCGCCGTGGACCCTGGCAGACGGCGTGCCCCTGGAGTAGCGGCCGGCGGCGAAGACGGTGAAGGTGGGCCGGCGGCAGGCGGGGTCCGAGAAGTGGCGGTAGTACCCTTCCCAGGAGCGGCCGGCGCCGTGGAAGGTGAAGAGCCGCGTGAGGAAGAGCACGGCCGGGCGCGCCTCGCAGCCTGTACTGGCCCAGCGGCCGCCCAGGCGCAGTGGCAGGGCCACGGGGGCAGGCAGCACTGGCGGGTGGCGCTCGTCAGCGCGCGCGATGAGCTGGCAGGCCGGGCAGGGCCGCGCGTGGTGCTGGCAGGGGAGGAACAGAGACCTCTTTTGAGGACTTGGTGACAAGGTGGGTGAGGCCTGGCCCCTCGATGCTCAGCTCCCTCCCAACCTGCTTACCTCTGGCCAGAGGGTCTCACTGCTGACCTTTGGCCCCAGTGAGCAGTCCCCTGCCCAGGATCTTAGCCTGCTGACTCCCCCCCCCCCCCCAGCTCCCAGGGGAAAAGTCTGCAGCTCTTCTGCAGGTTTCAGCTCAGAAGAAGTCCCTGAGGGGCTTCTCCAGACCCAGCGAGCCCCTACAAGGCTGTCCCCTGTCCCCTTTTGTTCTCCTCTCCCTGCTACTTTCTCCTGCCTCCTCTGACCCTTTTCCTCCATGAGTAAGCACCAAAAAGCTGGGTCTGTCTCCTTGTCCGCAGGGCCTAGCACAGTGCTTGGCTCACAGCAAACATGCTTGGTGCATGAATGAGCGAGAAACGTGTGGAAGTCCTCGTGGGCCTTGTGTCTTGGGGTTTAGAAGAAGCTGTCTCCCTCACACCCAGCCGGCTGGGCCCTGAAATGGGACCACTGAAGCCCATCTTGTTTCTCACTCCTGGCTCTTCGAGGCTAGAGCTATGCTAAATGGCTCCTGCAACCACTGCACAGGAAACCAGAGGCAGCTGAGACCTAGAGGGTGGGCGGGGAGGGGTCTGCTCCAGCTGCCCTGGCAGGAAGGGGTAGAGCTGAGCTGAAACACAGCCCCGCACAACTTGCTTGTCTGCACAACTTGCTTGTCTGGGTCTACCTCAGTGTAGTTTGTATCTCCTCATGAGGAAAGAGTACTTTTGTCTTTAGAGATCTCGCCTTGGAAGGTGAGCACCCTTCCATCACCCCTTGGACAGCGAATGTGGCAACCAAGAACCCTCATGCTGGAGGTGGTGCCAAGGGGGTAACTGGGAAGTCATCAAGAGCTGCTCAGTGATGTTCATTCCCCTGCAATTTTCAGTGGGAAAACCAGTCACACCAAGTTTTCAGCCCTCTGTTGCTCCAGGCCATGAACTGATTTCCTCTCTAAGGTCTTATTTACAGTTGTCCGGCCTTACAGATTCTCCAGAGGTTGGTTTACAGTAAAACACGTCAACAGGAAACAGACGCTAAATCAAATTGTGTGGGAGTAGTCAGTCTGAATTTTGGAGTGAAAAAGCTCAGTAGAGGCCAAAAAGGAACCAGATACACATATCTTCTTTTTTCTTAAAGGGAGCTGCCCGAATTTAGCCAAGAGCATCATTCTGAAAGGTCCATGGCTTTGGAACAGCCACTTGTCAAAGCTGACCAGGGAACTAGCAAACACCCATTTTGCCATTCCTAAGGGAAACTTGGGGTCTGGGTCCAAGGGAAAGGGAGCATTTTGAGGACCTGGCTGTGAAGTTAGCTTTAGTATATATTTTCATGCAAAAACCCTGCAAGATTCCCACACATTACAGCTGGGTGAGTTTCATGCCAACCAAGTGGCATAGGGAAGTTCTGGTTTAGAAAGAAAATACCAGATGACAGGGCTCTTCTTGTTTTGGATTGCCATACTTTAAAAGCTATTACTTAATCCTTATTGAACTCGAACTTCCCCTGGTTTCCATAATATAGGAGACTATACCATTTTTGGCTTGGGGGATTTTTTGAGGGGGCACTGGGGATTGAACTCAGGGGTACTCAACCACTGAGCCATATCCCCAGCCCCATTTTGTATTTTATTTAGAGACAAGGTCTCACTGAGTTGCTTAGCACCTTGCCATTGCTGAGGCTGACTTTGAACTTGTGATCCTCCTGCTTCAGCCCCCCAGCCCCACCCCCCAGCTGCTGGGATTACAGGTGTGCACCACTGTGCCTGCCTTGGCTTGGGGGAATATATATATATATTTTTTTTCAGATGTTGATGAACCTTTATTTTATTCATTTATTTATACGTGGTGCTGAGGATTGAACCCAGGGCCTCACACATGCTAGGCAAGTGCTCTACCACTGAGCCACAACTCCAGCCCAGCTTGGGGGATTTTGACCCAGAGTTTGAAGACACTTTGAAAAGCTAGGACATGACTGCAAAAATGTTTGCAACAGGAAAAAGCAAATACAAGAGTTAGCCTGAGTGTTGGTCATTGGGATGCTGACTGCTAAGTCTCTACTCTAATTGAGGCATTTTAACCTGAATTCCAACTTTTGTCACACTAATGTACATTGACAGGACATAATGCTTTACATCAAAATAATCCCAGAGCTGACCCCCCCACGGGGGTAGGTGGGGGTGCTAATTGGCAGAGACAAATTGAGAGTCAGCAAGCTTTCAAGGTGAGAGAGCTGAACGATAAGGCATTTCTTCCGTGGGAGATGTTGAAGGGTCCTGTCCCCCATAGACCATTTCCCAGACATCCTTCTGCAGTGCTCTGGAGTCTCAGGTGTTAATATACAAGGCCCCCAGCCAGCAGAATCCACACTTGTGCGGAAGCCAAACTCTTACTGGCCTGTGCCTGTTACATAAAGTTATTTCTCAAACAGCACATAACAGTTTCTAATTAACCCCCAGAGGTGACACCAGGCTCAGATGATTTTGGTTGAGTGTTGGCTGATTGATTAGGATTCTATATACAGGCAATGAATTTGGGGATCAAATTGGTTTTAAATTAACTTCTAAAAATGTTCATGTTTACCATCTGGTTTGGGTTGTGGGCAAGGCTTAGGCCCCAGAGAGCATAAGGTAATGACTAATTCGTTATTTGGGGATTTATCTGCAGCATTTCCTTATTTGAAATTGTCTCCCCCCTCGAAGGGGGCTTGGTGAGCGGACATTTAATTTTATGCCTGTACATCTGGCACTGTTCGGCAGTGCCCACGTTTCTGTGTCTTGCTTCTCAATCACATTTCAGGCTGCATAGGCCACCAGGACTGGCCAGGCAGCAGGGAGGGCAGGGACGGCGATGGCCCCAGAAGTCTGCCTGGGGACAGGTGAACTGGTTAGCCCCTGTAGCCCTCAGGGGTCTGCCTTTTCCCTCTTGATGGTGGCGCGGGGGGAGGCAGCAAGCCACTCACCGCCTTGCCCTGGTTTGCTAAGTGGGATTGAGCCAGAGCCGTCTGGAACATTGGTTGCCAAAAAGGGAATGATTTTGAGGTCACTCAAGGAACTCTGAGGCTGATTTTCTGATTACGAGAATTTTGTTGGGTTCCTTCTCTGCTACCCAGATCCTGGGTTTGGGGGAGGGGGTGAAAGAGAGATGGGAGAGTGGCTGGATTTGGGGTCTGTCTCATCCCCAGTGCCACCCCTGGGGACTCTGATAAACTGCTGTTCCCAGGGGTGAGAGGTTTCCCCATCTAGTTTAGTTCCTTGAGTGTCAAATACACAGTAAGCACTCAGTATATGCTAAATGATGTGAGGGTGGCCTAAGAGTTCAAAGGGTACTTGGCAGGGATGCTGAGCTCCTCCATCCTCCCCTCCCTCTTCATCTGCACTTTCAGAAAATGCTGAGTGCCTTGGACCGAAGTTCCTGACCCAGTGTCCTATACTAATTTCACATCCACTAACTTTTAACCTTTCTTCTTGTTGTGAATGTAGGCAGCAAACCCCCGTAGCATCTGCTGAACCTCTGTCACCAATGTCCCTCGATCAGTGTCACAGATACAGAAAGTATCATTGACACCCATCACTGCTCAGGCATGAGGGTGAAGAAAGAATTCCTGTTCTTCGTGCTCCCGTGCAGCACATTCGGGTTTTAAGATTGAGGAAATATTTTAATGGGGTGGGTTTCTATTTAAATCAGGTGCATTTCATCTTGTGTTTTTAAAGACAGTTTTTTTTTTTGTGGAGAGAGAACCTTAGGATTCACCTGCACCAGAGAGGTAGGTCTTGGAGACAAAAAAGGTCACAAGGACCACCCTTGTACTGGCTATGTGCCAGGAATACATAATGCAATTAAGATTAACTTTCTTTCTGTTTGATTATCGGCCAAAAAAAAAAAAAAGGCTACTAAAACTTCTCCAAATTAGGGCGGCACCTTTGAAATGGCTTCCTTTATAATCTAGGTTGATGGGCTTCAGGGAAGTTCACTCTGGAGTTGGGGCTGCATCTCATAGAAATCAGTTCATTTTAGACTGGGCCTCCCCACCCAGAATGCAGACCATGAGGATACATGTTAGAAACATAGGACCCCAGAACCTGCCCGACCTTCACTCTCTCAGATGCCCAGATCCGGGGGGCAATATTGATGCAACTCCACCTGAAGTTAGTGTGGGGGTGTGTGTCTGTGGCTCTGCTTCCAGGTCCAGGGAGGGGTCCACAATGAGATCCTGAGGGTGGCATCCAGAGGGTATGCAGCAGCCCCAGGAGGAAAGGGGGAAAGATGCCCCTTTGGTTTATTCCTGAGCATCTGTTGGCCAGACTCTGTGCTTTGGCCCCACCCTTGTGAAGGGTTTTGTACCACAGTGAGGAGGCAAAGGAGAAGGGGAGAAGGGCCAGCAGAGCTTCGGGTTGTGCTCTGTGCTGGAAAATATGAGGAGCGAGGATTGGAAGGGACATTTGAGCTGAGAAAACCCGCCCCGTAAGGATAGAAATGAGATCAGCAGGGCCCATGAGGACCAAATCTGGAGTGCAGGGACTGTGGAAGACCAGACGGGGAAGACTGAACACGTGTCCTTCTGTGAAGGCCTGGAAAGAGAAATCTCAAGCAGGGGCCATGGCGTATCCAAATTCCTGAAGCCAGGGTCAATAACGGACACTGATGAGACAGGGCAGAAAGGACCTTTGGTAGAGACCAGGTCATGTAGGGCCTTCTGGGTGGGCCCAAAGCTCCCCGCCCAGGGCCCCAGACTCACCAGGGCACTCTGCAGTGGGCGCTGGTAGCCGGTGGGCCTGTAGTAATGCCTCTCCGCCCAGGTGGTGTGGACGTCCCCCAGGTACAGTTCCTCCACAAGCTGGGGTGCAGCCCGGGGCTGTGGTTGCAGGCTGCGTTGCACACGGACCAGGCTGAGCTCATGCATGCTGAAGCCCAGTGCTACCATGCAGTCCCCCTGGGTCCGGGTGCTCAGCAGCTCATACAGTGCTCCTGGCAGCCAGGCCTGGGCTGGGGGCAGCCTTCCCATGCAATCCTGGATGGCATGGGTCTGATTGAGGTGCCTGATGACATCGAGCAGGGCACGGTGGCTGTGGAAGGCGATGCCCACCTTGTGCAGGTGGTAGTCGGCCTCGGTGGCACCCCGAGTGACCCAGGAGGCCCTGCGCAGGCGGACTTTGCCCTTGATGAGCAGAGAGTGGGTTGGCTGCTGGCAGGAGGCATCTCCATAGTAGAACTGGTAGGCCCGGAAGTGGCGGTTGGGATAGAAGGTGTAGGAGCGGGTGAGGAACTCTGGGCCTGGTCGCACCTCACAGCTGCCGTGGGGAGGAGATGGGTGCTGGGTGGAGAGGTGAGAATGCGTCCTGGGGCCCTCTGTCCTCTGGGCTGGGCTTGGCCTCCCCAACCTCCACTTCTGGCCTGGCCCCCACACTTCAGTTTCCTTGGCTTGTTTGGGTCAGCCTCACTGCTGGGGTGAGTTAGGACCTTCCACCCACTGTCGGATCTTTCTAGTTCCTCTTTCATCCTAACCTCGGGCCTAACAACAGGGGGCTTTTGCAACCATCTCGGGACCTGCTGCTCTGTGAGGTCTGGGAGGCTGTGTCCTGTTTCTTCCCAGTGAGTTCCGGCACCCCTTCCCTGTGTCCTGGCCAGCGAATGAGGGGTGCAGGAACAAGTGATCAGACGATACATAGCTTCGATTTGGTGGGCCAGATGGTTCTGTGGCAGCCACTTATGACTGCAGTTGTAGAGCTAAAGCAGATGTAGGTATGGAAGTGCATTGGCCTGGTTGTGTACCAATAGAACTTTCTTTACAGAAGCAGGTGGTGGGTAGGCCTCGGCCCCCAGGCTCAATTCTACTGGTGATGCAAACAAGTTCAGAGTGGAAGGGTAGGAAAGGAAAGCCACCTGGCTCCCAGACCCACCGCCATGCCCCGGGCTGGGCAGGGTAGGCCTCTGGGACTTCCCCACTGGGGCTCAGGTGGGGCAATGGGTGGATGTACACGGCTCAACTGGACTCCAACCCGTGCCCCTGTTTTCTTGGTATGTTATAACGGGGCTGTTGGAGCAGAAGAAATATGTTGTCAACCAGCAAGAAAACGGTTTCCCTTTCTTTTCTTTCAATCTTTCTGCTAGTATCAAGGATAAAGGAGCTGGCGTGACTTTAACACCAACGTCTTTTTTTTTTTTTTTTCCCAGTGAAGAACAGACTTGGAGCCTTAGGTAGGCCATGAATCTAGAGCAAATCTAATTATGCTGTTTTGTTTCATTGAGTTTCTTTTTACAGTTACTTCTTATTTATGGCAAGTGGCTCTGCTCTTTGTATAGGGGTGATATTGTGCTTCCTTTAAAAATAATTATATTACACTGTAAATGTGTGCAGTTTACTGTATGCCAATTATACCTCAATAAAGCTGTAAAAATGAATGATTATGTTTAAGTAAATAAAGGGAGTTGGTTTAAAGAAAAATAGCAAATGAGTACCAGAACAGGTGGTGGTTAAAGATGGGGAGGGGCACCCATACCCCAAAGGCCACTGTCTGGAGAGATTTGCTCAAGGGATGCAGCAGGTCACACTGGATGTCTTGGTGGTCCCAGACCCCAGAATCTTTTCCACATTCCTCCCAGAAAGCAACAGGGCTTGCCTTGAGAACATATCGGGGAACTTTCTAGGAAGAAAGTTCTGGAAGAAATTCTAGAATCTGTTTTCTGACTCATCCCTTGGGTTCTCCAGAGTGTTGTTACCTGGAGGAAGGAGAAGCCTCACACCTGTGTCCCCTCCCCATGCCCTGGTTCGGCTTTAGAGTGGCCTTGACAGTGTTGCCTGGACCCCACCTGGACTGGGGAGGGCGGAGGAGCCAGCCCCGGAAAAGCCTGGGAAGAGTGTGAGTGGCTTTGTGAACTCCCAAGGCTCCCTCCCCGCAAAGCACTACCAGATGTTTGGCAGTGGGGTTTCTCCATGAGCTCAGGAGGCATATGGAGGACACAGAGAGTCCAGTCCTTGACCCCAGAATGGGACTGACCAGGGGGCGCATCAGGAGGGATGCAGGAGGAGGAGGCCACAGCTGTCCTACTTTCTACCCCAGCCCTGGGATGGGGGAGCTCAGCTGGCTGTAGCAGGTTTATGGGCCACAGATGAGGGCCCAGCACAGAGTCCAGGGCTTCAGAGTGGCCACCAGCCTCTGAAACGTCAGTGGAGCCTGTCGGTGAGGAGACCAGCATGGGAACACCAGGCTCTCTGGCCTGCCACTTCCGGCCTCAGGGCCTTTGCCCCAGCTGTGCCCTCTGCTGGGCTTCTCTCTGGCTCTCTGGAGGGCAGACTCCTTTTCTTTCAGCTCTTAGCAGAATATCACCCCCTATAGAAGGCTTCCAGGTCATTTGCTTTACAGCCTTGGTTTTATTTCTTTCGCTGCAGACCTCGGCACCATCTCAAGTTGCTATCAATTGTTTCTGTTTGGGTACTCAGCACATGCCCCACTGCTGAGCCCTTGTGCCCAGCTCACAACAGGAACTCTCTAAGTATCTAGATAATGGGGCTCCGTGTGTTGAATGAACGCATCTCCTGGTCTGCTGTCATTGGCAGGGGTGTGATGTCCCAACGGTCCCTGCCCCCAGGTGCCGTCTGCAGAGGGGAGGTAAGCCATGTGCTTAGCACCTACCAGACCTCTTGGGAACTGGGCACACTGTGTGCACACATGTGGACACCGAGGCTCGGAGAAGAAGTCCCTCAGCCTAGGGGTCTGTGAGGACTTGGGGTCTTACCCAGTGGAGATCCAGGGGCCATCAAGGTGGGGGGGCAGAACTGCAGTGATGGGCATGCCTTCAGGCGCGGGTGGCTGGCAAGGGGGCTCCCAGCGGAGGTGGCCACTTCTCACTTCCCCGGTCACTTCTCTGGTGCCAGCTGCAAACCAGACAGATCTGGATCAGAGATGTGTACACCCCAGGTACACCACCTGCCTTCCCTACTCTCCACCTCCACCCAGGGCTGTAGCTTGGGAGGCCAGAGGAAGCCCCATAGCCTGCCTGCACCTCTACCTCATTCCCCAGGGCGACCATTCCCCTTTCCCTGCCTGTACCTCCACCTTGTCCACCAGGTGGTCCAGCACCCCTTAGACTGCCCCCAGTTCTGGACGTACTCTGCATATTGGAATTCCTAGAATCAGCTTTCTGACTCATCCCTTGGATTCCCAGTTGTGACCACCCTGGAATGCAGGCCTCCTGGAGGGAGGCTGGCCCAGATTCTTGGGCTGGGAAGCCTCTGAAAATTCGGCTCTGGGATCCAGACTCCTAGAAGCCCTGCCCTTCTGCAGGCCCCCTCCTGGGCAGTACTGGACAAGGAGGACTCAGATCTGAGGAGCCAGGCCCAGTGCCCCTGTAGAAGGCCACCTTGCAGCCTCATCCCTAATCCTAGGCAGGAATTAAAATGTCTCCGAAGGAGGTGCTCAGAGGGTGGTTGTGAGCAGCAGAGTCATTGCACTGGGCTCCAGGTCCTCTTGGGGAATCCCCCATGTGCTCGGCCCTGACCCTGCAATCATTGAGCCAGGGCGTGGGATGGCCACTGTGATTTCCAGGAGTTGTTATGAGGAGCACCCAGGACCTTCAGCTGCTAAAGAGCAGCAAGTCCCTCAGAAACTGTCATCCTCACTCAGAGGCTGAAGCAACCCAGATGGCGGGATGCTGTGGGAAGCTTGGCAGGAGCCACATCCGAGCATTGCAGCATCGGGCTGTGCTCATGGGGCCCGACCCTGGCCAACCGGCTGCTGCAGCTGCTGTCCTGTCTTGTCCTCCTCTGAGCAGTGGCTAAAGTGGGTCAGGAGCAGCTGAGTCTCCAGGGCTTCAGCCCAGGGGGTGAGACTTTGCCAGGCAGGGCCCTGGGAAGGGTCATGAGCTGAGAGGTGCCTGGTCAGCACGTTCTGCCCTCTTCCCTGTGAGGGTTTGTACTTTCCCATCTGGGTTTGGGGGGCCACGAGGCCCCACACAGCCCTCTTGGAGCTGTGTGATTGGAAACAGGGGCCCCACGCTTGCCGTGCCCCGGTGACCTCTCAGAAAAATGAAGTGGAGCAGATTCCTCTGCCCCCGGGAGGTTGGGAGTCCCAGTCAGGGTCCGTGGGGTCCCCAGTGCCCAGCTGAGAAAGCCCAAGTCAGGCTGCTGATGACAAGGACGATGACAACAAGGCTGGACTTCCTGCACGTGCGCATATCCTCCGGTCTGAGGCTTCACGGTCCCCACAAGAGCCAGAGTGTGGCCCTTCTCCTCGAGCAGGCCAACGGGCTCATCCAGATGGGCCCAGCAGGAGGGGGATTGTGACACTCACGTGTGACAAAGCCAGGACCCACAGCAATGTTCTCCTGGTCCACCGGCCCCTCGGTTTCAATCAGCCAAACTGGAGAAATGGAAGAAAAGAGCCAATCCAGGCCAAGGTGTCCTCCCACGGACATGTTGTCGTGAGAGTACCTGAAGCTGCTCAAGGCAGCGGAGCAAAGGCCTTGGAAGGAAGAGAGAAGCTGGTCGCTTTGCGTGGCCCTGGCACAAGGCTGACGTGCTGAGGGGAGCCCGAGCCAGGATGTGGGGGCCAGTGAGGCATCCACATTGGCCCTGTCCTAGTGTCACCCCCACCCCACCCCCCAACCTGCACTGGGACAGGCTGCCTCAGGGTCGGCACCTCGCAGGTTTGGGTGCGTCTTCATTGGAAGACACCGGGTCCCCCGGATTCAATTCTGCAGGTTAATTTGAACATCACCGGTGTCAATGAAACCTGTCTGCAAGTGTTGATTTGAAGAACAGATGGAAGCAAGGCGAAGAAAAGGATCAGGAGGGGTCAGCCCGACTCGCCTGGTAGGAAAACCGAGCTTGCATCTCAGAGCGAAAGAGCGGGTGGCCCTGCAAATTATATTTTCATTGTTTCATGAAAATCGGTGTTTTGAGAAAATGCTCTCTGTTCCAAAGAAAACAAGCCTCCCCCGACCCCGCACCCCTCCTGAAGGTACCAACGCCGTTTTTTGTCACGAATCCTCAGATACTGTGTTCCCGCTAGCCGAGTTTTGGTTCCTCTTGTTTTTCTGGGAGAAATTAGGATTTAATTATGTTAGCAGATTGTGAGATACGGTCAAGCCTGGCTGTCTTCAGAACACGCACGCACAGCACAGGACACGACCGTGGACCTTCTTTGTGAAAACACCCGGCCCCCAGCACAAAGCCGCCTCTTGGCCGCGGGCGAAGCCTCGACTTCAAGGTTGCAGAGATAAGCTTAACCAATTAGCAGTGACTCCGTGACATTAGCTCAGTTGCAGCTTTTGGGGTGGACTTTGATTTTCTTTTCTTTCTCTCCCGCCTCTCTTTTTCTCTCCCACAGAAAAGTCCTAACTAGATAAACAACTGGAGGCAGATGAGCTGGGGCTGGGCTGCGCAACTTCTTGCAAGGACCTGATAGACAGAGTTAAATACAAGGACCAAATTGATTTTTATCAACCATGGATTTTTAATTAACAGTGGTGTCCACTTACTGCCATTCATTATTTACTGTTTACTCACTAATTAAAAATTATGCTGCTCTTGCACTCATAAGAGCAGGGACATTTGAAATTAGATAGCATCGTTCAAATTACCTGCAGAATTAAATCTAGAGTGCCCAATTGCTCAGACCAGACTCCCAGAGCTGAAAATATGATCTGCCATGGTCCACTGTGTGGTCGTGAGTCACAGCACCAGGGACAGGCCACTTGGACACACGAGCATGTGGAATCTGCCTAGGGATTCAGGGGAGCGGACACTTGCGGAGCTCCTACTGGGTACGGGTGCTTGGCTAAGCTTATCACCAGGGCATCATCACCATGGTGACCGCGTCTACCGAGCATGTACCGTGGGAGTCGCCTCGGTCAGACGCTGTTTCTGCATCATGGCCATGACCCCTCCAGCAGTCCCAAGGCAGGTGGCGTGTCGACACACGAATGCAGATGCTGTATGGAACAACGGATCTGCACGGCCACCCACCACGTGGGTCTGTTGATGCCCCCTGGTACAGACGAGGAAACAGAGGTTCAAAAGGGTGAGAGGACTCGGCTGTGGTCACTCCTCGGGCAGCTGCTTCTTGGACAATTAAAGAATGCAGCAAATCACATCTAACATAAAATTCACCACTTTGACCATCTGCAGGAGTATAGTTCAGTAGCATTTAGTACATTCCCCACACTCTGCCACCACCGTCTCAGTCTAACCCAGAACCTTCCTATCCCCTGAAAGCAGGCCCACACAGCAAGCACTCCCAAGTCCCTCTCCCCATGGGCCATGCCACGGACTGGCCTGTTAGTACAGGCCCTCCTCTTACTTGCCGTTCACAGCGATGCCGGCAGGTCAATGTAGTCATCCCCCTGCTACAGAGGCACCCAGAAGGCTTGGAAAGCCACGCCCTGTCCAGGTCCTCTGTTGGGTTTCCTCCCAAGACCTGAAAGCAGGAGGCGTGGCTCAGGCAGGGTGGAGGGCGAAGGGTGCAGTGGGGTCCCTCCCTGAGCAGACACAGAAAGGTCAGCTCTTCAGTTGCCTTCCTTTTGGGGGCAAACTGGCATAAAAGAACCATTGCCCCCTGTCCTAACAGGTTGGGGCTGAGGTTGGAGAAGTGCAGCTCGTGGGAGGGGGTGGGTGAAGGGGTTTAGGTGCCACCCTGATTCCTTCACACCCACTTCCAGGCTGTTAGAAAAGCTGCTGTGCAGAGCCCATGTTACTGAGCTTGGAAAGGGGGTCCATCTGAAGGGGACTTTCAAATGTTAAGTAATATTTAAAAAAAACATTTCATATGCACATCAAAACCACCCTAAGATACCATCTCACTCCAGTAAGATTGGCAGCCATTATGAAGTCAAACAACAA